ACCGCATCTACATGGAGGGAAGTGTGTAGTGGGGTGCCCCAGGGCTCTGTTCTGGGCCCAGTGCTCTTCAACATCTTCATCAATGATTTGGACGAGGGGATAGATGGGGAACTCATCAAATTTGCAGACGACACCAAGCTGGCAGGAATAGCCAACACTCCAGAAGACAGGCTTAAGATACAGAAGGATCTGGACAGACGTGAACACTGGGCACTATCTAACAAAATGAAATTCAATGGTGAAAAAAGCAAGGTTCTTCATTTAGGCAAGAAAAACCAAATGCACAGGTATAGTATAGGGGGTACCTTGCTCAATAGTAGTAACTGTGAGAGGGACCTCGGAGGACAATCACTTAAATATGAGCCAGCAGTGTGCTGCAGCTGCCAAAAAGGCAAACACAGTGCTAGGCTGCATTAACAGAGGGATAGAATCAAGATCATGTGAAGTGATAATACCACTTTACAATGCCTTAGTAAGGCCACACTTGGAATACTGCATCCAGTTTTGGTCACCGCATTGTAAAAAAGGTGTTGAGACTCTAGAAAGAGTACAGAGAAGAGCAACAAAGATGATTAGGGGACTAGAGGCTAAAGCATATAAGGAACGGCTGCTGGAATTGGGTATGTCTAGTTTAATGAAGAGAAGGACGAGGGGGGGGGGACATGATAGCAGTGTTCCAATATCTCAGGGGCTGCCACAAAGAAGAGGGAGTCAAGCTATTTTCCAAGGTGCCTGAAGGCAGGACAAGAAGCAACGGATGAAAACTAATCAAGGAGAGAAGCAACCTAGAACTAAGGAGAAACTACCTGACAGTTAGAACAATTAACCAGTGGAACAACCTGCCTCCAGAAGCAGTGAATGCTCCAACACTGGAAGTTTTAAAGAAGAGACTGGACAGCCATTTGTCCGAAATGGTATAGGGTTTCCTGCCTGAGCAGGGGGTTGGACTAGATGACCTCCAAGGTCCCTTCCAACTTTTTTATTATTATTATTATTATTATTATTATTATTATTATTATTATTATTATTATTATTATTATTATTATTATTATTATTATTATTATTATTATTATTATTCTAGTCTAGTCTATATAAAAATTCAATGCTTAAAAGCTATTGAGTTCATTTTATTGTCAGAATAGTGCTTCCTTTTTACATTAATTTTTATCTGTCCATTA